ATCCTTTAAAAATAAAACTTACCCGCTCCTCTCCCTCCTGCTAATAGCCCTCCTCATAAAATCAAGCACTGGTGTGGCCTCCAGTCCCCATACCGTTTATAAATTAACTTGGGAGGTTCTCTCCCAAATGGGGGAGGTCATTTATGCTGTCACGGAACCACATGCACTTGGGACATGGTGGCCTACTCTATGGCCTGAATTTTGTGATTTAGTAGCAGGATTGGACACTTGGGACATTCCCCATTGCCACCCAAAGGCATGCACCAGTGGTTTCCACTTTTACAGACGTCGACGTACATTCATATTCATGGACTCCAGAGAAACCACCCCCGGGTGTGTTAGTCGCAGAGCCAGAGAGCAGCTAAATTCACAGGACTTCTATGTCTGCCCCCAAGATGGACGTACCTGGCAACAGGCCCGGAAATGTGGGGGACATGATTACTTTTTCTGTGCAGCTTGGGGGTGCGAGACTACAGGGGACGCATATTGGAGGCCATCCTCATCTTGGGATAAAATACAAAAGTACGCAGAGGCTGGGACAAAGGACAATCTGGAATGATAGGTATGCCCCTTGCCATTTCCTTCACTGCGCAGGGAAAGCAAGCCCCGGACTGGCAGACTGGGTATACCTGGGGTTTGCGTTGGTATCTATACGGGCCAGACAGGGGAGTAATCTTTACAATCAGATGTAAGGTGGCTCCTGTCAATCCACAGGCCATAGGCCCTAACCAGGTCCTTGCTGATCAAAAGCAGCCTAGCCTACTGATGCCCAAGGCTGATACCAGGCCCCTGACCCTGCCTAAAACCACAGCTGCTCCCGCGCCTACAGAAAGCACTCCCAAACCCCCCTCCTCGGGTCCCCCCTTAAAGGCACGGGAAATAGAATATTAGCCCTGATCCAAGGGACATATGCCACTCTGAATTTAACTCGCCCAGATAAGACTAAGGAATGCTGGCTTTGTCTGACTCCGCAACCTCCCTATTATGAAGGCTTAGCGGTTGTGGGCAAATATACAAATCAGGCCACAGCCGAGGCCCTTTGTGGGACAGCCATGCAACATAAATTGACCATCTCAGAAGTGTCTGGAAAGGGGCTATGTATAGGTAAAGTCCCCGCCACGCATCAAGGACTATGCAATGCCACTGAGCCTTTGCCCCAAAGTGGCCGCTACTTGATAGCCCCCAATGGGACATATTGGGCATGCAACACTGGATTAACCCCTTGTGTCTCCACCACGGTACTAGATGCCACCGTTGTCTATTGTGTTCTGATCGAATTATGGCCTAAGGTAATTTACCACCCCTCTGACTATGACTTGATAAGAACTGGCCGCAGTAAGAGGGAACCTATCTCCATCACTACTGCCATCCTACTAGGGGGATTAACCATGGGAGGCATAGCAGCAGGAATAGGAACCGGTACTGCCGCACTGCAGGAAACTAAACAGTTCCAACTCCTACAACAAGTAATGCGTGCAGATATTCGGTCTTTAGAGGAATCTGTCGCTGCCCTGGAGAAGTCCCTGTCCTCCCTGGCAGAAGTAGCCCTCCAAAATAGAAGGGGACTAGACCTCTTATTTTTACAGCAGGGGGGAATTTGTGCAGCCCTTAAAGAATAATGCTGCTTTTACGCAGACCATACCGGAGTGGTAAGAGACAACCTGGCTAAAATAAAAGAAAGATGCCAAAAGTACCACCAATTAATTGAGTCCCAACAGGGATGGTTTCAGAATTGGTATAACAGGTCCCCTTGGTATTCGACTCTCATATCCACCATTATGGGACCCCTGATCATTATATTTCTGATTCTGATGTTTGGGCCATGCATCTTAAACAGATTGACCCAGTTCATAAAAGAAAGGTTATCAGTTGTACAATCACTGGTTTTGACTCAACAATACCAGCAGCTAAAGCAAAGGGATTTCGAGATGGTAGAAACCTCTGAATGAAATATTCCATTCAGTTACAAGAGCAATGGGGGAATGAAAGACCCCGGCCCAGCCTACACGGAGGCAGCTGAGGCTTATGGAAAATTCCGTTTCCCCCACAGCTCAGCTGAATAGTCATTTTTTATCAGAAGGGAGCTCAGCTCAAGGTCTTCATGGCTGAATAGTCACTACTATCAGAAGGGAACTCTGTCCAGGCAGGGACACAGGTGTCTACTGTCTGCATAGCCACACAGAAACCTATTGTTCCTCAGATAGGGCCAAGGCCGAGACTTGAGTTCCAAGCAAAACCTTAATTGCCCTCGTTCTGAGCCCCAGCCTCATTTAAATTGCCCAATCAGGGTCCTGTAACTAGGCTTCTCGCTTCTGTACTGCGCTTTTTGCTATAAAAGAACCCCTGAGTCCCCAGCTCGGGGCTCTCAGTTCCCGAGACTGAGATGCCCCGGGTACCCATGTATTATCAATAAAGCCTCTTGCTGTTGCATCCAAGCTCGTGGTCTCGTTGTTCCTTGGGTTCGGGTCTCCCTCCCGTGAAAGTCCCCCGCCTGGGGTCTTTCACATTTTGCACAGGCATCTCAATTTTGATTTACTGACAATTTATAATGTGATTGAAGTTAATATTTTTCAGAAATATCACAAAACAGATTCTCTAAATTCATCTCACAACATTCAGCAAGGTTTCCCTGTCTGTATTAAATGTAATCATTTGTCTAAGTTAGTGTTGGTTAGTTTACTTTAGTGCAAAACGCCGTTCTTTGTAAGCAATCAATTAATATTATAGAAGTACCAAAGTTCCTAAAATTCTTTTCCTCACTCTTTTTAGCATCCACAACTGGATCTTAACAATGCAATTAATAGTCTATTGTTCCTATGATGATCATCTGCTTTCATGCATTAGTTCTTTATTTGAATTTTTGAATTCAATTCAAATTCAAGAATTTGAGTTCTTATTTATATACTAATTCTGTCTCTCCTAAGTATGGCGATTTACCTCATATCAGATGAGTATGGGAGACACTAGTAAGAGAAATGCTCTTTCAACATGTGCGATTGGGGACTAAAATAGTCCCTTTTTCTTTAAAAATGTTTCTGTTACACATGCTTTGCAATTTCTTACGAGGTCAGCGCTCTTCTCCCTAGAACCTAGCAGAGCTCCTGAGATGAAACACATGGAATTAATGGCTTCTGCAATACTGTAGAACATAGGGTTATTTCCTCTACTCCCTACTCAGCTTCCAGCATCTTGCAGCAATTATCACATAGGCTTTCCTGCCAGATCTGGAGGGCTGTGTCCTTGCCACACAGTCCTGAGGTCTGACTACGGATTTGCCTGAATCTCTCTAGGTGCCTGATTAGCTCTGTCAGACAGTTTCAGTTCTCCAATTGAACAGACATGGGTTTTCAGTTTAAAGTTTTCCTTACTGAGGAACATGGGTATTGCCTTTAAGCTAGACTTAAAATCAGAGCTACGAACCCATTCTTTACAACATATTTCCATGCTTTCAGTCTTTCCCAGTGTGGATGAGTTTATGCTATGGAGTTTCCCGGCTGGCTGTGGTAATTTATAGCTCTAAGTTTCTATTTAATTTCCCTTAATTGATTTTCCTAATTCATTTTAGGTCATTGTTGCAATTATTTATTTATTTTTTGTTCTTAGGAATTGAATCTTTAATGTCATAGGCATATTTACAAGAGCTGTTTCATATGTTTTGTTATTACATCCAACGTAACTAACTTTTTCTTTCATGTTAAAGGAGAGAATTTTAATCTGATTATTCATCACTTCTCTTTATGTGTCTTGTGATTCTGTTGTTATTAAAATCCAAATATTTTTGGTTGTGAGCCTAGCCTTTAACGGCTGAGCCATCTCTCCAGCTCAAAATCCAAACATTTTTAATATAAAGTGTAGCAGTCCTTTATTCTCTCTTTGGATAGGAATTATTTGTTGAATTTCTGTTATAGAAGGTGTGTTATAAGTTTCTTTTCCACTTTTATTTTCTAGCCTGAAATTTTAGGAGTCTCTGGTGTGTCTGTATCACTTAATGGTCAGGTAGTAATTTGCACAGAGGTTATTTCTAGAGCCTACACTTCTGTAAAGCCTGCATGGATTTGTGTGTGGTTTGGGAAGTGCATTCAAAGTTCAGCTGCTTTCTAAGCTTGCTGCTGCTTTTACTTCCCTTGGGGTACTCACAGTTCTTTCTGGAACGCACACATAGTTTCCCAGTCAGGAATGCTCTTTAGATAATTTATTTGACCCTTCTAAGTCTCTCTCATTTTCAGATTCTCTTTGTTGACATTTTGATTGGACCACTGCTTGCTCAACCTGACCTAGCAATCTCAGACCATTGAAGTTTCTACACTCATGACTTACTATGCCTCCATGTGCATTAAAAATGACACCAAGAATTACTTTTGCCTTCTTTCTAAAATTAAAGTGTATTCTCTGCCATGTATATGCTGCTCGATTTCATGGAAAGGCTCTTCCCTAGTTTCAGAGAGGTGAATGTGTTTTACCACACACACACACACACACACACACACACACACACACACAGACACACACACAGAGAGAGAGAGAGAGAGAGAGAGAGAGAGAGAGAGAATCAGAGACACTGAGAGAGCAAGCAAGGGGAGATAGACAGACAGACAAACAGACAGACAAAGAGGTATTGTTATAAAATTCTCCTGAACACTGGAAACACAATGCATTTGCTAAGATCTGACCAGAAATTTTGATATTACAAGAAAAATTGCTCAGTTTTCAAATAATCTCAATTTTATCATGAATGTCTACATTTCTGAGGTAGAAGTTTGAAACAATATTTATTTATATTATATGTGTGTATATGTGTGTGTCTTCTGCACACTTATAACTGAACTGCATATGTTCCTAGTGATCATGGTGGCCAGAATAGAGTGCTGCATTCCTTGAAACTAGTAACATATGTATAACCTACACACCTTCACTTGGATGCTGTGACCTGAACAAGCAATGTTCCTCTGCCAGAGCAGAAATACTGTAAACCACTAAGTCATCTCTCCAACAGCAAAGTGGAAATTTTTACAAGTTTAATTTAGAAGATATAACACGGAGAGAAAAATTATATGGCCAAAGATCCATCCATTTTTTGGAACAGTGTTTCAGCATGTGAAGCCCACATTTTCTGAAGATAATTATCAATGTTTCTCCAATTCAATGACAATGCAAAGAGGAAGATGTTGTGTTGCGTCTGGAAAACAATTACATCGTCATAAGCACCCTCATCTGTGTACTGACTAGTTCAGCCAGAGTTAGCAATTATTTCACCTGGGAAAATGAAGTCAGGATATCTGAGTTAAGATGATCAAAGTTCAAGTCTTTAGTGCTTCCTAGACATGTGAAAATAAAATGGTACAACAATAATAACTATGACAATAATGATATATTAGAATATGCATCTTTTTGTGTCAATCTATAAGATACTACAATCTTCATAGTATGATCTAGGCGATAGTCATATGACAGATTAGTGTGAATCTTTGTGTTCTGTTTATTTAGAAATTATCATAAAAAATATCTAGGAAGAAAGACACAAAACTTGTGCTTTAAAAAGTAATATTACTTATATATAGATAGGTATTTGAAGGCAATAGGGGAAAAGATTGTAGACTAAACTTTTCTGAACAGTCAAGGATTAAGATTTTTTCAGAAAATAATGTCCCTGACTAATAAAAATTTCACCTCATTGCTCCTTTAACTATGTACAATATTGTTCCTTGCGTCTTATTTTTTCCTAATATTTTTATTTAAATTAGAAAAAACACGTGTTTTTCACATCAATCCCAGTTCCCCTCCTTCCCTGCCTCCATTAAACCCTTATCCCTTCCCTTTATGCTCCCCATGGAGAGTGTGGCCTTGCATGGTGGATTTTCAAAGTCTGTCATATCACGTAGAACAGGTCTAGGTCCTCCCCCATGTCTCTAAGTTGAGAGTGTTTCCCTCTATGCGGAATGGGCTCACAAATTCCAATCCTATGCTAGGGATAAATACTGATCTACTATCAGAGGCCTCCTCACTGACACCCACGTTCAGGGGGTGTGGATCAGTCCTTGTCTGGTTTCCCAGCTGTCAGTCTGGAGTTCATGAACTCCCCCTTGTTTAGGTCAGCTGATTCTGTGTGTTACACACCAGCCTGGTCTTGACCCCTTTTTTCATCACTCCTCCCTCTCTGCAACTGGCTTCCAGGAGTTCATCTCACTGTTTAGTTGTGGATATCTGTTTCTGCTTCTGGCAGCTACTGGATAAAGGCTGTAATATGGCATAGAAGGTACTCATCAATCTCATTATCGGGGAAGGGCATTTAAGGTAGTCTCTCCACTATTGCTTAGGTTACTAGTTAGTATCATTCTTGTAGATCTCTGGACATTTCCCTAGTGCCAGATTTCTCCTTAAACCTATAATGGTGTTTCTTTTTATTTTCAAGAAAAAAAACTTATTACATTTTTTTTTTAGAAAAGAGCTTGCTTCACACGCCAATCTCAGCTCCCTCTCCCTCCCCTCCTCCCTCATCCACCCCATACCCTCCAGCCTGCCATCCCATTCCCACCTTGCTCCACAGGGAATTATGGTATCTCTTATCTCACTATACTTCCCCTGACTCAACCTTCCTGCTCCTTCAAGTTGTACTCTCCTGTCCTCTCCTTTTCTGTCTCCTAGCTCCCTTTCCCTTCCCCCCATGCTTCCTATGTGTTTGGATGAATTGTTCTATAGATGTCTGTTAAACCCAGTTGGGTCATAACTTCTGTTAGTTCTTTTGTTTCTAAGTTAATTTTCTGTCTTGTGATCCTGTCTAGTGGTGAGAGTGGTGTATTGAAGTCTCTACTATAATTCTGTGAGGTTTTATGTGTGTTTTGAGTTTTAGTAGTGTTTCTTTTGAGAAATGGGTGCCTTTGTATTTGGGGCATTGATGTTAGAATTGAGAATTCATTCTGAATTTTTCCTGTGATTAACATGAACTTACCTTCTTCATTGCTTTTGATTGATTTCAGTTTGAAGTCTAATGGTTAGATATTAGGATAGCTATACCAGCTTGTTTCTTGTGTCCATTTGAGTGGAAAATCATATCCCAACCCTTTATTCTGAGGTAAAGTTTATTTTTGAAGTTAAGATGTATTTATTGTATGCAGCAGAAGGATGGGTTCTGCCTTTGTATACATTCTCTTAGTCTGTGTCTTTTTATAGGTAAGTTAAGACCATTAATATTGATGGAAATTAATGACCATTGAGTGTTAAATCTTGTTTATTTTGGATTTGCTGCTGGTGCTGGTATTGTGTGGGTTTGCCCTGCTTTTTCTATTGGTTTTGGTAAAGTGGGATTAGCCATTTCCTATGTTATGTGAGTGTAGTTAACTTTCTTAGGTTGGAGTTTTCCTTTCAGTACTTCCTGTAGGGCTGGATTTGTGGATATGTATTGTTTAAATATGGTTTTGCTGTGGAATATCTTGTTTTCTCCATCTATAGTGACTGAAAGCTTTGCTGGGTATAGTAATCTAGGCTGGCATTGGTGGTCTCTTAAGGTTGGTAGAGTATCTATTCAGGACCTTTTGGCTTTCAGAGTTTCCATAGAGAAATCAGTGTAATTCTGATTGGTTTGCCTTTATATGTTGCTTGACCTTTTTCCTTAGCTGCTCTTAATAATCTTTCATTAATATATATATGCTTGGTGTTTTGACTATTATGTGGTGACAGGACTTTTTTGTGGTCCACTCTATTTGGTGTTCTGTAGGCTTCTTGTACTTTCATTGGCATGCATTTCTTTAGGTTGGGAAAGTTTTTCTTCTATGATTTTGTTAAATATGTTTTCTCCACCTTTGAATTGGGTTTCTTCACCTTCTTCTGTACCTATTATTTTTAGATTTGGCCTTTTCACAGTGTCCCATATTTCCTGGCTATTTTGTGTTAGGGATTTGTTTGACTGAAGATTTTCTGTGGTTGATGAATCTATTTCTCTTAGTGTATCTTCAACCCCTAGAATTCTCCCTTTCCTCTATTGTATTCTGTTAGTTATGCTTGTGTCTGTAGTTCCTGATCATTTATCCAACTTTTCTAATTCCCTAAGAGTGTGTTTTTATTGTCTCTATTTCAACTTTCAAACCTTGCACTGTTTGAATTGTTTCTTGCAATTTTTGATTTTTCTTTTCTTCCATTTCTTCAAAGGATTTTTCTCATTTCCTTTTTTAGTGTCTATCATCTTCATGAAGTTTTTTAAAGGTCATTCTCTTCCATTTCATCGGTGTTGGTATATTCAGGTCCTACTGGTATATAGTCACTGGACTCTGTAGCATCATATTGGTTTAACTGTTGTTAAATGTGTTCTTATATTGTCGTCTTCCCAACCCTTATCATCTTAGGTGCAGGTGGGGTCTCTTCCTCTCATGGTGGGTATTAGGACAAGGTTTTCTTCCAGTGGGAGCCAGCAGGCCCAATACCCTGATGAGTCTTAAGGTGGGTGCAGGAGGGACTGAGCCACTCACTCTCCTGGTGGATAGGATTGGGACTAACATAGCGATATCAGCAGACTCACTGTTGCTTTGTCTACCGTAAGCAAGTTGACCTGACTGCAGTCTCCAGGCCAGAAGATCCAAGAGTGGGAAAGCAGAAGTCAGGCCTGAGACAGGGGCCCAAGCTTACCTCTCTTCTGAGTGCAAGCAGGAGTAGCACAGTGATATCAGCAAACTCCAGGTTGCTTCATCTGGCAGGGCAAGTTGATCTGCCTGTAGTCCCCAAGCCAGGGCATGCCCTATTCCTTGTGTCTTTAAAGCTTTGTCTATTAAATTGTTATAGTAACTCTAAAAAATAGACTTCATTTTCATTTTGTTTCTGAATCTCAAAGAACAGTTATAATTCTTGTGGTGTACCCATAATTCATTTTTTTCGTTTTTTCATTTTTCTCTCATATATATCATGTATACCGTATAAAGTTATTATAAAACCAGGTTCATTCCCTTATATTAATACTGGATAGAGTAAGAAGAAATCATACCAAGAGCAGGCAAAAGAATCAGAGACAGCCCCACTCCCACTGTTAGGATTATCACACAAACACCAACCTACAGTGTATATAGGATATAGCTCAGTCCCCTGTAGGCTCTTTTATTGTTTCTTCATTCCCTTTGAGCCCTTGTGAGATCAGGTTAGTTGATTCTGAAGGCCATTTTCTTATGGTGTCTCAAACTCTGGCTTCTACCCTCATTCCTCGCATGCTTCCACAGGATTTCCCCAGCTCTGTCTAATGTTTGACTGTATGTCTCTCCATCTGCTGCCATCAGTTGCTAGATGAAGCCTCTCTGATGATGATTATGTAAGGCTCAGTACTTTGAGTACAGCAGTGTGTTATTAGGAATCATTTAATTGAATTGTTCCCCTGGCTTGTGATTGGTTCTATCTTAGGTCTCTCCCTATCCAGTCTCTGGATTGTGATCCTCCAACCAGTATCAGGTATGGGGTACCTCTCCTGACATAGGTCTCAACTTGGCTATTCACACAAGTTCTATATCACCTTTACCCATAAGATCTTGTAGACCAAGAAAATTATAGGTTGAAAGCTTTGTGGCTGGGTTGATGTCCAAATTCCTTCACTGGAAGTCTTTTCAGGTTATCAAAGATGGTTTTTCAAGTTCTATATCCCTCATTACTAGAAATCTTTGCTATGGTTATTCTCATGGAGTTCTAGGAGATTCTTTTGAACTAGGTTTTTATCTTGCCCTAGAAAAGCCTTCAATTTTTGTCATCTCTACCAGTACTCTCTCACTCCACCCCTACCTAATGCCTCTTGTTCTCATCTCCACTCATCCCAAGTTGACCTAAGAAGTCTATTCAATTTCCTCTTCCCAGGAAGATACATACAGGCATATTTTTCACTTACTTCTGTGTATTTGTTCTCGATATACATATAAATAACTGTATTTTATATATTTGCTTTTCTAAAATATAACATATGAATATGATATATTATATTATGTACAATATAAATGATATATGATAAAAACATGCCAATACACATTAAAGACAGAATTCAATACATCTTTCCTGATGCCCAAATCCATATTCCATGTGTCCTTTTCAGTTAGTTTAGCTATGCTTTTCTCATTGAAAGTAATGAGGGCCAGCAAAAGAGTAAGGCATTTGAAAGAAAGCTTCTAATGTGGTTTTTCTTATATTTCCTGATACTATCCTATTAATTTCAGTTTTTATAGATATCTAATTTTCTTTCTTTAGTTCTTTTTTATAATTTAGTTTCTTCATTTAACTTTTGACACATGTTACTCTCAGTTTCCTCTACCTTCCCTCCTCCCCCGGACCCACATTTCTCCCAATCCCCCACCCCACTCCATCCCCCCTCTGCTCCCAAAGGGGGTTAAGGGCTTCCATGAGGGGTTTTCAGGGTCTGTCTTATCTTTCTGGGCAGGGCCTAGGTCCATCCCCATGTTTTCTAAACTCATCAAAATTTTCGTTTGGCTTTAGGTCAAGAACATCTAATAATGTCTACCCTTACTGTCAATTCCTAATATGTGACCCGGGACACTGTAATTCAAAAATAACTTAGGCACTAAAAGGGAGCAGTCCCTCTTTCCCATTTACTCTCTGTATTCTCTTTCCATGCTGAGTGTGAATGTGGAATTTGTGAGTGATGTCATATTTTAGCTATATTTTCTCACAAACATTCCTAACAGAGAGATTCAGCATATGTTCTAAGGAAATCACATTGCTAAGAGGTTGATCTAGCAGTCAAATATAATATATTGTATATCAATCTTAATATACTGTTTGTTTTCAAGTGTGGAAGTAGGTATCATTTAGCTGGAGACAGCTTTTCACAAAACTGTCATTCCTTATGGTGTTCATGTGTTTCTAAAGAGAGTAAATGTTTTATTCCTATTCTTGTAGAACTATGCTAAGTCACACAAAATGAAACAAATTGTAAAACATGATTTCGCAAATGAATTACCACATTTCTTATGACTTAATTTGTTCTGACAATTTTCGTAGTGACAATACAGTTTTCTTCTGACAAGCACAATTAGGTTTGGTGAAGCACCCTTATTTCATGTCTCTGAGAAAGTGACTCAAATCAAATGAAGAAATATCTATGACAGGACAGGCAGTGCAATAAAAAGTCATGGTGAATTCAAGTAAATTAATGTTGAGCTAGAATTCATAAAACATGAGATAACACCATACACCACTATTGTAAAAATTTAAGCAACAACCACCTTAAAATGCATAATGTTGCGTTGCCTTTAAGTGTTAAAGTGAGTGAGTAGTGGGGAGGGCCTGAAGAGAAGAATAATTAAGTGTTCACTTACAGAGTTAGGAGAGGCAAGGGCAGAGACTCTTCTATTAGATTATTAGAATTTAAACATCCTAAAATCTTGTATAAAGAGTATGTATGAATCTTCTTCAGAACTCTTGCCCATATGCTGGTGCTTAATCAGTTAAGTGGTAGGGTTTTTAGGCAGTGATAAAGTAAAGAGGATAAAACCAATTAAACGCAGGGCTTGTTTGCCATCATGGCTTTACTTCCAGGAGAAAATATCCTCCGCAGAAGTGTGTGCAAGCACAAACAGGGCCCGTGCGAGACCTTTTATCCTCGCGCAGATTTCATGCTTTACTTCCATTATCCGATGAATGTGAAAAACAAATTTCTTTTGTTTATAAATTACCTAGTCTAATGTATCTTATGGCAGCATAAATGGGAGAGAACACACAGACATACACACATGCAGGCACGCACACACACACACACACACACAGAGAGAGAGAGAGAGAGAGAGAGAGAGAGAGAGAGAGAGAGAGAGAGAGAGAGAGAGAGAGAGAGAGAGAGAAGCAGTAACAACCCTAGAAACTAGTCCTCAAAGTATTTATCATGCTTGGAATTCCAAATGTAGTGCTTGTATAATCTGATCAGCATATGTCTACTTTGTGAATGTGCAGCTTCAAGAATGTTGAGACCATGTACGGTTTATTCATGTTAGAAAGTTCAATCTTCTAAAGCAAACTATATGTATCTTCATGTGATCAGCTGGAGCTACTTGTAAGAGTCATCTAACTGGACATATGAACTTTCTAAACATTTCAATAGAGAATGGTGAGAGTTATTGAACTCACCTGATATTCCAGTAATCTCTTGTCATTTATATCCGGTTCTGCCTAATTTTACTAGTCTTGTAGTCTCAGGTTATACAACGTTGTACAGTCTGGGAAAGGCTTAGGTAGACTCCACTTCTGCAACAATAGGGAAGGCAACATCCATGTTTGTTAAAGGTTTTCCTTTTCTCCTCTGATGTCATAAATGCTTCTGCCAATTACCCCTGGTTCATGCTCTGTAAGTCCAAAAAATCACTGATTCCCATGGGTGATTTGTGATGGAGTCATACACTGGCTCATTTATGGAACTTTCACAGGAAAGCTTAGGCAATTTTTCATCTCCCACAAATAAGTCATTTTAGAAACAGTTCAACATATGCTCTCCATTTCTAGAACACATGTTGCATATACACACATGCATGCACACACACAGAGACACACACAAATCTAAATTATAGAATCATGAGTTAATGGTTTCAGTTTCTGGAATCATCTTATAAACTGGAGCCATTCTTTAGTTAAGAGACAAATTCCTTCTATAAAACTCTCTATAATTTATATATCTATTTCTAAGAATTATTAAGTATTCTTCAATAGAACGTGTAAGTCATTTTAAAACATGATAATATTTAGAATATTGAAACTTAAAATATGAAGGAAATTGCCTTGAATGATATTGAGTTGAGTACGGTTTTGGGGAACTTCTCTGTCAATGTTACAACCTGGTGGTTCTTTGGCTTTCTGTGGATAGTTAAACCCAAACTCTTCTGCCATCAACTCTTTTCGGAAAGCACTGGGGGCTCACTAAACATGAAGCTGATTATTCCTGACTAATACAGTACATTTAGCTCAATTATTCCTGAAGATGATTGAGCACAAATGATTTTTTTCTCTTTTTTTATTTTTTTAATTTTTCAGTTTAAGTTTAGATAAGAAACAAGGTTGCTTCACAAGTCAGTTCCAGGTCTCTCTCTCTTTCCCTCCCCTCCTACAGTGCCCTCCCCCAGCCCCCCCATTATCCCCTCATTCCCCCAGGGAGGGTAAGGCCCTCCATGGGGGTGTCCATAGTCTGTCATTTCATACAGGGCAGGGCCTAGACCCTCCCCCAAGAGTTCAGGGTGAGAGTGCACCTCACATTGTTGGGTGGGAGTCCAAAGTCTGAGCACAAATGATTTATAATCTCGGTATTGACTGCCACCCCACCCTCCCATTGTTTAATTTCACATTATCTTGTTTTTTTTTTTTTTTTTGGTTGTGAGCCTAGCCTTTAATGGCTGAGCCATGTCTACAGCCCTAATTTCACATTATCACGTATCCCGATCTCACTACAAACTGCACCAACCTTTCTCTGAACCGTTGTTCTCAGCCCTGACAATTGATTTCATTTAAAATTCTCCAGTCATAGCTAATACATGAACATCATTAAATGTTGTTGTTCCATGAAGTTTTGCCAGAAGGGGTTATAGTACAGAGCAGAAATAAATTAACACCGAAAGCCAGAAACCATCTCCTGGCGTTGTTTGCTTTCTTACAATGAGGCCTCCGGGCTTACAATTTGTTAGTGAGGCCTATTCTTCATCACACAGCCTTTGCCCACTCTTGCCTCTTGAGAACATGCTGGCTAGAGGAGATCGCTATATATTTAACGTAAAATGAAGGTCTGCCAGAACGAAAATGAACTGTTCTTCTATGTTTGTGTAATTTCTCTTTCTGGCTTATCTGGATCTCTCCTTTTCACGTCTGCTGCCACGTGTCAGAATTGAATCAGAATCACAAAAGCATCAGATAACAAAAGTTTTCAACCAAAGATGACTTCTGTTTCCCTCTGATGGCTTAAATGAAGGCGTCCTTGGAATAATGGGTTTTCAGTTGGTAGCATTACTAGGGAGGGCTTGGGACAGAACACGCTACTGGCTCAGTTTTTTCCTGACAGTAGTTAGAAACTGGTGTAACGGAAGGAAAGGAAAAGCACCAGCTCTGCCTCTGCATGGCATTCCCCTCTGCTTTTCCCAGTTTTAAATTTACACTCACTGACAATTCATGGCTATTCCAGGCTTTCTAGTGTCCATCACTTGCCTACCTGTTGACTGCTTTGATTTTCTGGAAATAAACTAAATCACGGTTTGGGTTCATGTAAATCATTGCTTCTTCCTGTACGCTTGGTTTAACTCATTTTCCATTTGAGGTCATGAGTAGAGGATTAATTTTGGACTGCCTTTTCCCAATGCACTATTAATTTAGTATTGAAAACTTCCTTTCCAACAGCAACTTAATTATGTCCCACAATTTTCATGTTACATTTTCACTTTCATTTCCTACACTTTTAAGTCTTTGTTTAACATTGAGGTTTTTCTATGTAACTCAGATTTTTAAAATTGAGTTATTAAGTTTCTGGTTCGTGATTATTCTGTTACTGTTCATTACTCATCTCTGATTTGAATCACTTGAGTCTACCTACATTCACACAAGCTCAATAGCTGTAAATGAGTTCTGATTTCTGTCCTTGACAATGTTATAATCTGGTTCCATATGTGACATCTGGAAACCTGAAATGAACATCCACTTACTCTTCTGATTTATTGCAGGATGTGATGTACACTTCAACTATTTCATGCTGTTTAATGATCAGCTATGCTAAATTAAAGATGATAGTTTGTAGTTATTCTTTGGATAACTGAGAAAGAAATGTTACATCTAACTCTAATGATGGACTTGCCATTTTTCTCTTTCGTTCTCTATGTTTTTATTGATGAAATTTGTTTTACACTGTTTCAGATGTGTATGCTATCTATAGTACCTACTCTCACCCCTATGCCCCAATAAATCCCTCTCATACATATTTGTGACTATTTGGTTTATTTGAGATCTACTGAGATAGATCACCTGTGTGATCCTATGTTTTCTTTGTCTTCACATAGACTCTTACTGGATCATTGACATAAATGAGAAGTCATGTCTAGTCCCTCAAATAAGTTATATACTAAGGTTTCATGTAATTTCTCTTCCTGGTTGGTCTGGATCTCTCCGTTTCTTATCTGCTGCCTCTGCTTGTTCAGTTTCCTGTCTGCTGTTCACATTGATGACTACTGGTCTATCCTCAGTTCAGGGATTCTGTCCTTACTCTGTAATTCTCCTGTGCTAAGACTTTTAATATCAGCTTGGAGTCTTTATTTCTAAAATTGCCATTTTTCTTTGTTTCATATCAATTGGGTTTGTGAATTGACACATCATCCTTTCATGAAGATAAACCCATATACCCAAGATGGTCTGAACTTATTATTTAACTTTTGAGAGCTCAGAACACAGGCATGTGCCCCAATTTGGCCTGTAGAGAGAGATCTTACTAGGCACCTGATCCACCCATTTGGGCATCTTCACAGGTGCATAAATGGGGTGTGGGATAAAGACCTGGAGAGAGGTTGCTAGCATTCTCTTGGTGTTCTGGTCAGGTCTCAGAGAGAGCTGAGACTGCGTGCTCAGAGTGCTGACCCAGGGATACCAATCACTCATGTAAGTGATTTTCTCTTCAATAAAATTAACTTTCTTCATCCTAATCCTGTATACTGTAATTCTTGTAGCCACATTGGCCACATGATGCTGTGGATAGGCTTCATGAATTTTCAGAAAGCACTAAACTACAGCTGCTTATGGCAGAGGGGTGAGTCACATTCACTTATAACAGATGCATCCATTCCATGTATCCATTGTTCATGGCAATAGGTTTCCTGAAACAATTGCCCCACAAATATGTCTTATGCTTTGACATACTAGGCTCTTCCATTCTCTGTACACCCTTCTTCTATTTTTTCTATTTGTTTCCCCTCTCACATTTCCCCCTTCATGCCATAGGCCCATTTAAGAATTTGTGCATAAATCAGTTGAAAATAAGCAAGAAGACATCTAAATTAAACATTTTTTAGTTACAGTCAGATGTATGTATTGTAAGAATGTGATGGCCAGGATAATTTCTTTAAAACAAATATGAAAATCTAAGCGAGAATTTCCAGTTATTGAAAAAGAACTAAAGATACAGCATTAAAGGTGTAAGATTTGTGGGATAAAGACATAGTTCAACAGTTAAGAGGGTATACTGCTTTTACAAAAGATGTAAAGTCAGTTCCTATTACACACTTGACTAGCTCAAAATTCCCTTAAGTGTAGCTCCATGGGATCTTACACACTCTTTTGAACTTAGAGCCGTATACAATTGCACCCACACACAAATGCACTAATATGCATGAAGTTTTAAAATGGAACAAAAATTTTACAATAAAAAATGAGTTTTATGTAACCCAAGCCCAGATTTTTTGAAGTAATAAAGTTAATGGATCTACTATTAAATAGACAAAGCTGGTATATGATAGTCTATTTTTATTTGTTAAGAAACCAAGTTAACTTGAAACTGTCTTTGTTGGCTTCAACGGACGCTGTAACGATACGCGACACACAATTACTGAAAGTAACGCTAAGTATTTTATGTAGAAAATTACTCACAAGTTACCAAACCCAGAGAAGCTCAGCAGATCTCAGCTAGCGACTGGACCGGAAGCCGAACTCCAGGAAAAGAGAGCGAGACTTCCTGTGCGCTGTCTTTTATGCCTTCCCCCCGTACCGCCCCTAGCCATGCCCAAAAGTGGGCCTGGCTAGTGACGTAGTTCCGCCTACGTACGTATACGTCTTTACGTCCAGCCATATACGTCTTTAGTCCTGCCTAAAGTGGGTGTGGTTAGCGGTGTGGTAAACCGCCCTTTTATTACCTCATCTGTATGCGCCTCTAGTAAGTCACATGTTTAATGGCGGCATAGACTTAGTAAGTCACATGTTTAATGGCAGCATAGACTTCCTCCTACAATTCCCCTTTTAGTCTAAAAAAGGACAACTAACTTGTGTCCATGAACAAGATGTATCAAACTTCTATCTAAACCTAAACTTATCTGAAAGAAACACCCAAATATGAATACCTCCTTCCAATCCCAACTGTAAAATAATTGAAAACTAACACTAACAGGTGTAATCTTATAATATCAATAGTAGGGAGAGGGGGTGTGGAATTCTCAAAACTACTTCCTGCTGAGATGGGACGATGATAATCTCATGGGGACCTGTGAAAAGAAAATGTTAGTATAACAAAATCTCAGTAGATCAGACAGTCTCAGTATGGCAGGAGATGCTTGATTGAAGTTCCTGACTAGGGTTCTAGTGTTGATTGAAACTCTCATCTTGAAGCTCTGGTCAGATTGTAGAAGATGTGCTGTTTCAGTTTCTTGGTCCGGAGATGTGTAGAGTGATGTAGTTTCAAGCCAGTTTCAGGATAGTGCTTGTCAGGTGGAGTCAATGATGTGGGGCAGTTCAGATGCCTCCAGTCGAATCAGGTGAAGTCAAGGAAGTGGATCCTCATTCTCTTTCGGAAGCAGTTGAAGATTGCTGTCAGGAAATCCCTTGTTCTCTGGAAAACTCAAACATTACTGTTAACAAAGAAATATTTTAACTTTCATATGTAAGCATACAGAAGAGGTGACAATAGGGAAGATGGAAAACCTGGAGGAAATTAGACTGTTCAGAAAAAGAAATCCACAGATAACAATCCCTCATTTTATTTCTTCTGTCTTATATCAATGGCTCTTTGATATAATACAGAAATTCTGAATTGTATTTAAATAACATGCTTGGGTTTAGAGTAGGAGAGCCAATCCAACTCCAAAGCCAGCTTCAGTTAAATTAATGGGAATTGAGGTATGTGAAGAAATAAAGATAAAAGGATACTATGAAAAAGCAATATAGAGAGATTTAGACTTTGATACCACACAGTGTGTGTTTGATGGTCCTCAGGGTAGCTATTCATTCTTCTACAGGAATCCATATGTCCAGTATTCTTTGCTGAGTTTACCTGTGAATACAAAAAACAAAACACTTCTCTTTCCTTTTAGGAGGTCCCTTTACCCATGGTGGACTATGAATTTGTAGATGGGCTGTTATCTTCCTCCTCCTGAGATGTTTTCTGTTCTGATCGAATTTTAATTAATTTTGATGGAACCCAAATCTTTTCTTCTCCTGTGGAAACAAAAGCATAACCCCTTCCCCAACGTAACACATATCCTGGTTTCCAGACTGAGGTCATAACATCCTTAAAATACACCGGTTGGTTCAGTTCAGAAGTCTTCTCTGTAGTCCAGTGTCTTTCTGCTGCAGTTTGTCCTTTTTCATCAGCATTAAGAAAATTCAACGTTAGTAAAGCATTGTGTAACCTGTGTCTAGGTGTCTTTGTTTTCCCTGGCTGTTTATGAAGCATGAAAAAGATCAATTTTCATAATTTTTTTAAATTACCAAAACATGTTGTTAACAATAAGGAACAAAGGATAATAAAAATACTATATATCAAAAGAATTTTTATAATTTTTAAATTTATTTAAAGTTTGTTACCCTGGCCAGGCGGTGGTGGCACACACCTTTAATCCCAGCACTCGGGAGGCAGAGGCAGGCGGATCTTTCTGAGTTCGAGGCAGGCCTGTGAACGATAGCCTCCAAAGCAATACAGAGAAACCCTGTCTCGTAAAAACCAAAAAAAAAAGTTTGTTACCCTGGTGTGTATCTATGAATCTATGTATGTGCTTGGGGTGGGTGTTTGCATGTATTTTCCTGTATTTGTGTATGTGTGGAGGGTGTATTCCACAGTACTAGTGTGGAGTTCAAACAATAACTGTACAGTCAGTTCCTCCTTTCCTTTGACCTTTTTTTGTGGATTCCTGGAGTCGAGGCTAGATTTTTTTTTAGGATTGTGTAGCAAGGACTTTGGCTCTGGAGTCATTGTGCTATCTCTAATGAATGTTCAAAGTTTTCAAATGAAAATGGGCATATTTTATAGGTTTCTAAAGAAAGTGAAATATTTAAATTATACCCTCAAAAGAAGATTAATATGGGTAAACAAAGATGGTGAAATCTTGAGACATTTTTTCAAAAGCATCATTCATAAGAAATAATGAAGATGAAAGAGCAGGAAGATTGAGTCAGGGGAAGAATAGAGAGCAAGAAAAGAGATACCATAATAGAGGGAGCTATTATAGGTTTAAACAGAAATCTGGCACTAGGGAAAGTTCAGGGATCTACAAGATTGACACCAACTAACAATCTAAGCAATAGTCAGGCTACATTAAATACCCTCCCCCAATAATGAGATTGATGACTAACTCATATGCCATCCTAGAGCCTTTATTCAGTAGCTGTTGGAATCAGAAATAGACACTCACAGCTAAACACTGAGCTGAACTCTAGAATTCAGTTACAGAGAGGGAGGAATGATGGACAAAGGAGTCAAGACCAGGCTGGAGAAACCCAAGGAAACAGCTGACCTGAACAAGGTGTTGCTCATGGACCCCAGTCTGATAGCTGGTAAACCAGCATAGAACTCTTCCAGACCCACTGAATGTGGATGCCAGTTTGGAAGTCTGGTTAATCTACAGGGCCTCAGGTACTGGATCAGTATTTATCTCTAGTAAATGAATGGATTTTGTGAGCATACAATTATCTTTATGTGTCTTTGGAAGTCACATTTTCATAGTCTCTTCATCTATGACAGCCATTCTTTCCCTCAAATCTGTTGTTTTGTTCATATGAACAAAAGCACACTAGGTTCCTAGTTTCTTATTCCATATCTCTGAATATTCATTCAAGGAAAGAACTAAATTTGTCATTATTCTCAAATACCTGTGTTAATCTGTATATTTTCCAAATCCTTTGAAGGCATATAGAGAATAATCGTGATTTGGGGGTAGGGAAACATTTAAATAGAAAAATGAAAATAATGCAGTTTTCTTAAAAAAGAAAAATATGAAAATGTATTAAATAAAAAGATTATAGATAAGAAAGAAAAGTCAGAAAGCAAAGAAAGGACCATTGGCACCCCCAGAACACAACAGACTATATACATTTATGAATTAAATATAATAAGCTTAAATAAATATATAATCTACTGATTAAATTGTGTCATAAGTCACAGCCAGGCAATGACCTACCTACCATCCTGAGTTATACTAATAACATTACTACCTAATAGGGTGAAAAATAAATTATAGGTTTTATGTATGTATATTACAGATTTAATATTACCAACTACAATTAGACCTCATAGCCACGTTACATCCACTATTAAAGTGTTAAAAGAAAAGAAACAATGCCAACACATATACCTATCCTATCAAAATATCTCAGTAATCTAAATAAATTTAGAATTCACAGTTTAAGAGCTGTCTAAATAGCAACAAGAGAACACTAATGAAATATCCACCAAACAAATAGTGGAAAGTTGAGCTATTGCCAATAAACCACCAATAAATAGGGTCCTAGGTGTGCAGTTTTTTTTTATAGTCACAGAAGACTGTATCACTTAGGAGAAAGGGCTAAATTAATAACTCAGAAGAAACTATGAAATATATCTCGGTATTCTGAGTAGAACAGAGTGTAATAAAGGATTGTGTTGTGTAGAGTTCATTTCTATATGACTATTTCCTGCAGATGTAAGAAAAATGCCCTGTGATGGGTGGCAGGGTAACAAAGAAATGTTAGTGGTTGTGATTATTAGTGTTGTAAAGGTAACAGTTTCTGGAATTACGTAGGAGACAAGGCACACCTTCAGGCAATATTTATATTAGGATAGCCTCTGGACATATCTATGAAACACAATCTTGATTAAGTTAATTCTATTGGAAAGAACCACCCTAAAAGAGGACAACAGCATCTACTGGTTTTGCATGCTTGACTTCCTAAAAAAGGAGGGAGGGAATTAGTTGGATAGAACATCCATGACTTTATACTGGACTGTGGGGGCAATGTGACCAGATTCTGTGTTTTATGTTGTGAAATGAGTTTTTAAAATTCCTATCCTCTTTATACTTTCAGAAATGATCAGTTTTCTCACAATGCATTTTCACCTTCTGCACTAATGATAACTTATAGAAACTATTGCCTTAAAGTCAACAACTCCTTGGAAATATGTAACTACACATTAATGTCCTCTGTTTGCATCGTATGTCAATTTAATTGGGACCATTTTGATCATTAAACTCTCCATGGCAATTTCTGAGTTTGTTCGTCAAACACTTTTTAACCACTGCCAGCTGTGAGTTTTTTTAATCTACCTTTCCTTAGATGAAACAAATCTCAAGATTATGTTTTCAAGACCAATGAGATGGCTAAGAGCATAAAACCGTTTGTCATGCAGTGGACCTGAGTTTAGCCCTTAGAACCACATAAAGATGGAAGGAAAACAGACTCCAATAGTTGTCTAGTAACCTCCAAAAAAGTGCTTATCATCCCCACATATGTAATAAACAAACTTAAATGTGAGAGGATTATATTTGAGCATCTTTTTTTAATTAGTGCATTCTTACAGTTGCTCCTATATTATTCCTATAAACCATGTCCAAAACAATATCTTTCTATCTAGTTACAAACTCTCAAACACATACTGAGCATTCCACAGATATATTTTATATTTATGTCCTAGTTTTCTTACTGTGTTGCTGTGATGGACAGATGGACAAATC